ACGCGTGGGGTTCCACAAGGGCAGGGGGGTGAGTGGGGCTCTGGGAACCTCTGGGATGAATTCCAGTAGCGTGTCCAAACTGAGGCAGGAGGAGAAAGGAAGATGAGGGGGAAAATTGAGAATGCTAAAAATAGTAAGTCTTTGCCAGCTCCGCGCACGTCCAGTCCAGCCGTCTCAGCTCATCAGCGATTTCGAGTAAGAGCAGCTCGGGCTGCCCATGGCTCAGGGACGGTCACTTGCCCTCACAGGTTTGTCTTATAGGAAGGCTGGTGGCTGCGGAGCTCCATCCATCTTCCTGGGTAGATGGGGCCTACCCTACCCTAGGGTTCCAGGGGCAGAGAGAGCCCTGGAGAGGGCAGGGAGGCATGCTTCAAAGAGAGGAAACGCTGCCTCTGCCAGGGTGAGGAGCTGCGTCCCCCATGGTGGGCGCCCCTGGCTTTGGGACATTTCTCCAGTGGCCACTGGGCATTGCTTCCCTAGCCAGAGAGAGGGAGCCGAGAGGGGTCTCCTGGGGAGACCTCCAGCTCCACTGACAGCGTGGTGGAGAGTGGGCTCAGCTGAGGCCTTCACTCAGAGCAGGGCGGGGTGGCCAGGCCTGCCTGGCTCCCAGATCCTCCAGAGAAACGGGGCAGGGAGAGACGGGTCTGTCTCCCGGGACCAGAGCTTGAAGGGCTCCCAGAGGCTGAGGCCCAGGATGGGAGGGCCTGTCTCAGGTCTCATGGGGAGTGAGTGGGTCTCTTAGCCCTCGGTCCATGGCTCTGTCCACCCCGCCAGGTCAGGTCTGAACATTGGGCTGTTTTAGTGCAGACACTCCTGGAGCAGGTGGTTGGGACAAGGCCTCTTTCACCAAAAAGCCAGTTGGCAAAATCACTGACTGTGCATCCCTGAGGCCCAGTCGCCCTGAAACTCCCCCTTCTGGGGGATTCTGCAGAGAGATCAGCTCAGCCTAGGTCTCAGCTGCCTGGCACTTGAAGCTAGGGGTGTGGTGGGGGCGGAGAGACAGAGCCCCCCATACCCCATTCTGGTTGGAGGGACAAAGTAGTTGGTCTGAAATCGCCAGGGAAGGCGGGCTGCAGGGCCCCGAGCATTGCCGTGGCCACCCCGTCCTGGGTCAGGTAGGCAGACTAAGGCCGAGGGAGGGAGTGCCAGGGCTGGCCGCGCAGCCAGAGGTGGCTGAGTGGAGGCCACTTCCCACCCCACCTGTGCTAAATGGCGAGGGGGTCAGGAGCCCTGCCTCGCTCTGCGGTGCTCACCTGGACGCCACGGTTCGCCTGTGCTGCATCACCCCTGCCTCCCTTCCAGCCCTGGCCACCTCTAGCCCTGGCCCTGCCTGCCTTCCCTCGCCTTGTCCCTGCAGCGAGCCCTGGAGCTCCCTGAGGGTAGGGCCCCGCGATGACAGGGATGGGAGGAAGGCTGGGCCAAGCCCAGGTCCTGGTCTGGGGCCAGGCTGGCGGGCCGCGGGGACCCCTCCATGGTCTCCAAACCTGTGGGGCGGGCAGGAGGGGTGGAGG